TTTTTTTTTTTTTTTTTTTTTTTTTTTTTTTTTTTTTTTTTTTTTTTTTTTTTTTTTTTTTTGTAATATAATTTAACAGTAAATTATCAAACCCCATTCTGCTATTTTTTCCCTCTTAATGCTAGGGTTTATGATTTTCAGACCAGTTATTCAAAGGAAATTATTCTATTTTTGCTTTGAAAATATTCAATCTTTGCATATGGTTGTTTTTTTTTACAGTTTTATCTTCATTTTTGCTTGAACAATGTTAATTTATCTCTATATTGGAAAGAACTTTACTCCTTATTTGAGAGTCTAATACGTATCCGAATATATTAAATGTTTCTAAACTTTGAATGTCGTAACTAATAGTTCTTTAAACTTTAGAAGTATTAAATAGGTTTTTAAACTTTTAATATTATGTTTATAGGTCCTTGACACATTCAACATTTTACCTGTTGGACATAAGAATGAATTGTGTCTAACGGAACATTAAAATTAGATTTTATGTCCAATAGGAGCATGAATTTTTAGAAAATGTTGAACGGGTCTAAAATTTAGTAGGCATTCGAGAGTCCAAAAACTTGTTAGAACGCAAAATCGACCCAATAAAAAATTCAAGACATGCTCCGTATTTTTTAATGTTCACCTAATTGATACAAACTTTTGTTAACCATGTGGATTAATATAGGATAGTAAAAAATTAATTTAAAGCTATTATTTATCATGCTCATTTTATGATTTTTCATATATATTTTTTTATAAATTAGCTAATTTTATGATAAATGAACTTTTTTTTTTTTAATTTTAATTTTTTTTTCTTTACCAAACCCATGGTTAAAAATAAACATCCTTTGGTTTGGATAGATTTTTATAGATTTTATCAATTTTGGTTGGTTCGATTTAATTAATTTTAACATTTTTCGCAAATTCTAGAACAGAAACATAACTATTTAAATCTTCTTTAGACATTTATAAATTTGGCTGGAAAACAGATGAGGCTATTTAGTGTTTCGAGTTCAAAAGACAACAAGGGTTTTAAGTTACTAAGTTTCTCGAAACACGAACAACATACCGACATTTAAAGGTATCGTAAAAAAACTTAGCAAGTTTTCAAAGAACCCAAAAAACCAAATCCTCAAATAAATTAATCATATCATTAAATGATAAGATTTTGCAGTTCATCAGAAACATTTTCCATTGAATGTCTACAATACTATCATCCTCTTCCTAGTTGAAACATTCTACTTTCTGGGTTTGGTTTAAAATTGGAGCTTAGATTCAACACTAACTAACCATGAAAGCTAAGGAAGATAGATTTCCTTTCAAATGTTTAAACGGCTCTGCAAGTATAGCCTGCAATTTGAGGTAAACATTTAGCTCGAGTTTTGTTACTGGGTCGATGATTGATCGGGTTCTCCCCGAAACCTTCCTTTTGGAGCTGCAAACAATGAGCTCTGAAAATATCTGCAGTGACATGAAGTCTGAAGTCCAAATTGGACAGAAATTCTATCTCCATTCTGTTCATTTCTTTTGTGCTCACTCCTCCTACTCTGGCAAAGAAAGTATTGTTATGGCACCTGCATAGCATAACAAAGCACAATAAGCTGTTATAACATCCAAGAAATTGGGAGCCAATTCTCGGGCATGCTGGATGCACGATATCGGTTCAGCAGCACCGAACGAATGACTCTTGTTTGAGCTGCACGTTGATAGTCGTTTTCATATTTCGTACCAAATCTTTTAAAGTTTTCAATTATATCTTAGATAAATATCTTTATTCTATGTCGTGAATGTCATTATACTAGGAAAAATGTGTACGTGTGCCATGTGAGGGTCTTTTTATGAAGTTTTCGATTCGTGGGTACATTTTCAATTTTATGGGTGTGCATGTCCGTTCCATCGTATTAAATATAGGATATTTTCGACTCTGATGACAATAAAAATGAGTTGAAAAAACAAACAAACTTTTGAAAGATATTGGACAAAATTGAAGAATGACCAAATATCAGGAACTAAATCATATGTTTATCCCATTTTCACTATCAATAGTGTCAACTATTCATAAAAATGTTGAAACTATGGATTCCTCTTCATATGATCTCAAGTTAATGGATGAATGATAAGCCAACAAATGGATGAATGATAAGCCAACAAAGACGAATATTATCAGAGCTCAAAATCTTGTCATCTCGAGCGAATTACAAAGTTAACTAAGTGATATCGAAACTTACCCGGCATCGTTAAACTTCGCTGCAACCATGATGCTGGTGATCAGAAGGCGGTGGACGTTCAAAGAAGTAAGGTAAGCATCCATCTTTTGAAGATATCTTTCAATGTATATGTAGGCAACAACTAAGCAAGGAGTGCCACAACATGTGTACTTCGAGATGCGATCAATATATTGTCCAATGCCCATGGTCGGTGCTCGGGAACCATGGAAAACCGTAACGTTGTCTTTCGTTTTGAGTTTTTTCAATAACTTTTCATTTTTCTGAATCGACCTCTCGAAAACAGAGGAAAGAATCGACAACACTCGAGGTGAGCTCGGTATAGGCTTCCCAGATTCACCCAGTCCAAGAGGTGAATCTGTTTCTGCTAGAAAATCATTGCCACTGTCTGCCATTTTTCTTATGTTCATCAAGATCTGCACAATACAAAACAAAATCACTTTAATTCATACAGAATCACCAGTGAATGGAAAAAAAAAAACAATCTAATAATACAGGTGGGTCCCTTCCAAATCTGATAATAAAATAGATTATTGTAAGGTATATACATTATTTTCCTACAGATTCAGAAGCCATGTTGTAAAGCCTTATATATTTCTCTAAAACATGTTCAGAAACTTGAATTATGGAGATATGGAAGAAGATTACAAACGACCAGCATCGTTTTGGCTGTTCGGTGCAGAAGCAAGAGCGTTTTGTAGGGAAATGAACGAAACGTCCCGGTGCCACCAATTGATTCAAAGATTTCTTAGAGAATAGAAGGGAAAAAAGTTTGATTTGGTTTCTGAATCTGACATGAGCAGACCCACAGAAAGGTTAGTGTTCTAAGAGATTTAAAGGATTCTAACCGTAGCGGACAAGAAAACTCCTCGTTTAAGGATATTGAACACTAAAGCAATAGCATATGAACAATTCATTCATTCCACCAGAAATGATAAAAAACTCACAAGGAAAAGAATCTAAATCTTACCCAGATGATCAAAATCGAGTTCTCCAAGCAATCGATCACGTACTTCGAAGAACGAAGCAGGGCGATCTCAAAGAAAGTCAGAGGAAAACTGCATATGAAAGTGGCTCAAAGACCCTGAGGCTGCCAGTTTTGGGCAAATATAGGAAAGAAAGAGGACATATAATGTCTGAAATGCATCAGAAAAAACGAGGCTTACAATTTAGAGCTTCTTGAATAACCTTCTCAATGTTCATTGCTTGAGCATTCTTGACTTGTACAAGCAGAAAAGCTAGGCAGTTCCTCATGAGCAGAGAAAGAAAAAGCTGGTTTCAAAACCTGTTTATTCATAACTTTGGCCTGTAGACAGCAGTTTCTCATGATTCTGGTTCGGTTCATACCTTAGGAATATGAATAAAGTAGCTTTAGTCTATTTTTATTCTTTCCTTTCAGACATAGTCATCAAGGACAAATAGTTTATGCCATTTGGGTCCATTTGAGCTCAAATTTTCAAGGATTCAAATGGTTAGGAATCACGAATCTCCACCACGGTATGATATTGTCCACTTTGAGTGGTGTAACCCGTGATCATTCCCTAAATTAGCTGATGTGTGACTCCCTCCCAACAATCTTCAATAATCATCTCTTCAAACAAAGTACACCATAGAGCCTCCCCTGAGGTCTATGTTGCCCTCGAACAGTCTCCCCTTAATCGAGGCTCGACTCCTTTTTCTGGAGCCCTCGAACAAAGTACACCCTTTGATCGACACTTGAGTCACTTTTGACTACATTTTCGAGACTCACGACTTCTTTGTTCAACACTTAAGGATTCTATTGGCATGACTAAGTTAAGGGTGTGGCTCTGATATCATATTTTCTTTTGGTTTTTCCAAAAGGGTTCATACCAATGGAGATGTATTCTTTAATTATAAACTCAGGATCATTCCCTTAATTAGTTGATGCGGGACTCCCTCCCAACAACCCTCAATCCTCCACTCAAATCACAATGTGAAAGTGTTAAGCATTTGGAGCACTCTTCTAACAAATCCCTATTGGTATATGCAGCACAGAGAGAAAATAAAGCAGAGCATAGAGATTCCATTCCTCCATCAGAATGTTAAAGTGAAAAGCACAGATCAATGATGAATCAATGGGATTTTATTTGGCAGGCCAAAAACTCCAAGAAAATCACATAAAGCTATAAAGTTCCCTTTTCCATAGCAGTAATTTGCAGGATCTTACCTTCTGGGGACCCCAAATTTGAAACAAAATGTGGGGAAAATCATTACAAAACCGAAAGTGGGATGCAAAGTTCAAATCCAGAAGACAGAAATCATCAATAAGAATCATCGCATTACTTCGTTTTTTAAACATATTGATCGCAATCAGACAGAACGCATTTGGATCTTGAAATGCGGAACGAAGAACTTACTTACAGATCGATGGATTCTGAGCTTTTTGATCGATCTTTGACGGTTTGGCCTTGAAGAGCTTGGCGCCAAAAAGTGGAGAATCTTGTTTTTGGCTTCGATCGAAATGCAGAGAAAAAGTTTAAAGATTCCATGGAAATGGGTGAGGGAGGTTGATTGTAGAAGTGGTGTTGGGCAGAGGAATTTTGTTTGTTTGCCCAGAAAATTTGGTGGAAAACAAACATTTTCACATGAAAAAGAATCGGGTGGAATGGAAAGTCTTGGGGTTTGATGGGTTTGTTTGGGTTTTCGAGTGTAGCGCAAGAAATGGGGTTTTCTTTGAGCAAAAG